ATATCTCGACTAGCTGAGCCGATCTAGACATGTGTATCCGTCTATCTGTCTGTTAAAAGTTATATACACAGTACAGGCCACAGTTATGGACCAATCATCACAAATTTGTGCATGCAGGGCCGATTCTGGTCATAGAAGACCGCTATTGTTTTTCGTAATGAACGGTGAATATTTAATTTTGTATATATTTCTGGTCGCTCTAGAGACAACAATTATGGCCCAAACACAACGAAAGGAGGAGAATATTTGACAATGGAATACATACTTTATTTCGGCCAATATTTAACGGGTCAAATGGACCCAGCCATTTCTATAAAAAAACCAGTGAGCGGAGCAGTATAGTCGGACGGGGCCGACCATATGATACCCTACACAACTACCACGACAAGCACACTTTCGGCGGTTCTATATTCTGAGCCTGGGCAATATTTCGTGATATTTGCACCCTTTTTAACGATTATAGATCAACAACTCCTCTTTCTAACTCTTGCATATTTTCCAAAATGTTTTTTTCTTGAAGTGCATTTTTACGCCGTACAATAAAAAATTGGTCACTTTAGGTTTTGGTTGATTTGACCCTCGGAAAATTGACCGATCATCATCTAAACATCCGCTCTAAGTATTTGGTCAGATCCCCTTCACCTTGTAAAATATGTGATGTTCTGTATATAATAATTGCCTCTAGAGTGACTAGAAAATCTGACAAAATTAAAGTTTTCGGTTCATTGCACCCCCTGAATGAAATCTCAACTTCACCGAAAACTATAAGCGTCGTCTTTGACCATTATCGGAACTTCATGTACTATTTCAAAGCGATCAGCGCGATATTTCCGTCCTCTTATGGAGTAATAGTAATACTAGGCACATAGTCACCTTTACCTAATTACGTATAACTCCCGCATCGGAGTACATACAGCCATATAGTTGGTATCAATTTGAAGGTCAACAACTCATCTTGGACATACTATCACCATCTCGAGTATATGTCCTTCAGGAGCAAGTATATACGCCCCAGAATAAAAATTTTATAATTTTTCACACAAAAGTCAGGCCGACCTCTATCAAAACACGATTGCTTATTCTTAGGCCCGATCCCCTTCTCCATGTAAAATTTCACGATGTTCGGACCATAACTGCGGGCTCTGGAGCGACCCTAAATATTAACCGATCTTTATCAAAAACAATAGGGGTCTTCATTGGCCAGACCCCTATCTACATGCAAAATTTTGTGAAGATTGGTCCATAACTGTGGCCTGTATCGTGTTTACAAATTATAATGGACAGACGGACGGACGGACCGACACACATGTCTAGATCGACTCAGCTAGTCGAGATATGACGATCGGTATGCTTAAAGGTGGGTCTAGGACCAATATTTCGCGGCGTTACAAACTTATGGGGCTGCACAAAGCTATAATACCCTGACAACATAGTTGTGTAGGGTATAATGGCATAATTTACATTCTATTACCCCTGTAGAACATAGACCGGATAAGTTGACAGAAGGCGGATATGTCGCGCTGATGACAGTCATATTTTTCGGTGTTAATCGGATGGCATTTAAGAGATCATATGAACTGAAACCTTATTTTCGTATTTTTTCGGGTCGTTCTAGAGACCACAATTTTAGACCGACATTACAAATGTTACACAAATGTTAAGAATATCGGTTCATATATATCCAAATTGTACCGAATTTAGTACATAATTAATAGAAATTTCCTACTCACCCCAATCCGACACCCTAACAGTGATCCTAACTCAAAATGTTAGGATTCCCGCTCCATTTTCGTATACACACTTCCCAAACCACCTCCCTATATCGAACCTACTTCTTCTTTCCAAATTGCAGTGTTCCCACTCTATCGGTTCATATAAATCCAAGTTGTACCAAATAGTACATAGTATACATTAATATAAATTTCCTACTCACCCCAATCCGACAACCTAACAGTGATCCTAACTCCAAATTTCCGAATTCCAGCTTCATTTTCGTATACATGACTAAACACTTTCAAAACCACCTCCTAATATCGACCCCACTTCTCAACCTTGATTCGCATTCCAAATTTCAAGTTTTTAGCTCTATCCTTTCAAATGTAAGAAGTTTTGTACATTTTAGTACTTTTCGCATTGTTGGAGTTCGAATTTCCAAAAACCCTTTAGTACATCGATCCTACCCTCCTTAAGTTCTAGCTCCACCGGTTCGCCAAATAGAAATTGTATCACTTTTAGTACTTTTCGTGCCGTTCTAGTACGAATTTTCAAAAACACAGCCTTATCTGACACCTTTGGACCAAAAGTGACCCTCACCCCAAATTTCAAGATTTTTATTCAAATATTATTTAAAATTAAAATTAAAAAAAAACATTTTTCTCATTAAAAAATATATTTTTTTAATATATCTTTTATTTTTCATTCCAGGTTATTGCGAATTACATATGCTCGGCTAGGATTTCCGTTTGATGACAATCGAAACGAAAATTATCTACAAGTAGCTTGAAAATATGACAGGCCCGCCTATAACCATAATTTGGAATATATTTTGGAATTATCCGTTTCTCTCAATCAGAAAATTCCACAAAGAAGGATTGCAAGGCAATAGAGGCAGACCAAAAAATCGGTTTAGTTATTAAGAACATAATTTATTAAAATTAATATTTTTTTTAAATGTATATAAATTTTTTACAAAGAATATTTAATAAAAATTAAAAAAAATACGATTGCACTAAAAATATTGTTTGTTTTTATTTACGGATACAAATACGTTGGTAAGTTACATGCTCCTACACGTGCCACATTTATTCATGTGATGACGTCACAATTTTCCATTCACCTGGTTTTGGGCATTTTTGGCCAAAAATACCAGGCGCCCAGAACAAAATAGCAAGTAGCCCGGCAAAAAATAAATGTAGGAACAAATTGCATCTGGCAACACCCTACAAAAAATCAAAATTTGTAGCATACTTTTAGGCGCTCGGATTTTTTGGCGGGTAGGGTGTTGCCAGAACAAAATTTTTCGGAATTTTTATTTTTTTTTGGCGGGCTATTTTGTTCTGGGCGCCTGGTATTTTTGTGAAATTTTGCCAAAATTGTCCAAATTTTTTGGGATTTTTATTTTTCGTATTTTTTTGGGAGGTAGCCATGTGAGTGACATTACTGTTTTACAAGCGGCTAAGAAACTGATATTAAGAACCCCCACTACCAGATTTTTTAGACGTCCACAAATAAAAAACATTTTTAGAATTTGTTTTTAAAACTGTTTATTTATTTTTTTCAATAAGCAATCAATTAAGTACATAAAAATAAATAAATAACATACAGTGCTAACTTAATAGTATTTAATATAATATTAGTGTACAGGAAAGGATGATGTTTCAAGACAGGGCTTAAATTTTGGAGGGGTGGGTATTTTCCTACGGCAATTGCCCAAACATATCAGGCATTCAGTAAAGGTAGTCAGAAAATTTAACTAATAGACAAACTGCGGTCCTTCAGCTCAGTTATATTTTTGATATTGAATTTTGAATCAAATTTGGGACGCATATCAGGAAATAGATTTCAAAAAATTCGACATAACAACAGTATGGTTTGGATGAAATTTCAAAAAACAATAATGTATGTTACTATAAGAATCGTAGAAACATCTCTTGTATATACCCAAATTGGTGTAGGGTACTATACAGTCGACCCAGTCCAATGTTTCTCCTTTCCTTATGGGGTTTCTAACGCCTCGAAATATTGGTCCTAGACCCACCTTTAAGTATACCGATGGTCATATCTCGACTAGATGAGTCGATCTAGACATGTGTGTCCGTCCATTATAATTTGTCTGTCCGTCTGTCCATTATAATTTGTAAACGCGATACAGGCTGCAGTTATGGACCAATCTTCACGACATTTTGCATGTAGGATGGGTTCTGCCCAATGAAGACCCCTATTGTTTTCGGTAAAGATCGGTTAATATTTAGGTGATGAAATGGACCAAATACTTAATTTTTGTCGGTTTTTCTGGTCGCTCCAGAGGCCGCAATTATGGCCCAAACATCGCGAATTTTTGCATGGAGAAGGGGATCGGGCCAAAGAATAAGCATGCCTGGATAAGTAATTAGAAGGGCTGTACTGAACATTAGTTATAATTGTCGGTCTCTAGTTGGTCTAGATGGTTCAAATATCGCGAAATATTGCCCAAGCTCAGAATATAGATCCACAGAAAGTTAGTTTTTCGTGGAAGTTGTGTAGGGTATCATATGGTCGGCCCCGTCCGACCATACTGCTCCGCTCACTGGTTTTTAAATAATGTTTTACAAAATTTTAAAAATTCATAATTTGGAAAATAATTGAATCCTCTATAGCTATACTTGTAATAGATATTTCGATTGTATCAATCTTGTTTATACCCTACACCATACCGTCAAGGGTATATACAATTTGTCATTCCGTTTGCTACACCTTGAAATATTCACCGGATATTCCATAAAGTATATATATTCTTGATCAAAATAAAATTCCATGTCGAGATAGGGATGTTCATATGTTTGTCTGTCCGTCTGTTAGAATCATGATATAGCTTGTAAAATTTAAGCTAGAGCTTTGGCAATTTTTACGTACAATGTTATTACTTCTTTTTACAACTTTTTGGTATAGCCCCCAATAATGTCACTCCCAAATGTTCGGTATTTTGAAATTTATTGCACTTTGTTTGGGTGTCAAAATTGGGTGTCAAATCCTCCGCCATACAAAAAATTAGCCATAGCATAACCCGCCATTTATGAAGGTCTGAACAATTACTGACATATTAAATGTTCAACTCATCGTGAAATGTATTAAAGGTTCGACATGGTCGAACTTAAAGATGTGTTTACTTGTTTTACCTATTTTTGCATTAAAATAATTAAACATTATTATTATATTAGGTTCAAACAGGATTTTTTTGCATTTCAATATATTTACAATACTAGACAAATTACAAATAATTTAACAAACTACAGTCTATTCTATTACCACGACTTTACTACAACAGGGGCTGTTTCGTATGTGTGCAATACAGGAGTAGAAACAGTCTTAATCAAAGCTGGGGCAGAGTATGTCTGCACAATAGGTGTAGCCAATGTCTTGGTGGTGTAAGAAGTGGTCTTCACGGCAGGTGCCAAAACATCTTCCACAACATGGGCGGAACTATGGACAACCGAATGACTTTGATGCGATACGGAAGAGGGTACCGACTTTACCAGGGAACCAGTTTGGGCATATCCATGTTCTTGCACAGTTACCGTAGCCAAGGGAGCAGAATGAACCTCAACGGATTCATAGAGACCAGGACGAGCCAAGGCAAGGGCGAATAGAGCAGACAACAGCACCTGCAGGAAAAGGGAGATAAACGAATTTTATTGAATATTTTGAATATTTTTTATATTCAAGAAAGTATTTTGATTACTTACCAACTTGAACATTTTTTTGATTTGATTTATTGTTGTTTGTATGGAAATGGGGAGTCTGAATTGCTTCAAATGCTTGAAGAAGAATAGGTGTAATGATTAATTCCCCAAAATTAAACGTGTTTATATACCGAATCTTTAAACATTGTAAAGCGTTGAACAGTTTGTCTTCTAAACGCACACATTCACATATACACATAAGTGGTAATGTTGTTATTGAAAATACCATAACATTTTTAAGACATAATAAAGACAATAACTTCAAGTGAAGTAGTAGTTTCGAATATAGTGGATATTTCTAGGTCATGTTCTAATTATTGTGTGTAACTGCAAGTTCATTGAAATAATTAATTATAAAAAAGAATTCTAAATCATTACTTTTTCTAATGTACAAGAAATATAATTTGTCAGGAAAAGAAATGAAATTTGTCAAGTACTTTACATCATTTGGAAACCCTATAACCGGAACCTTTATTGTAAATTATCATACATATTGTCGGATTGGAAAATTTGGCTAGAATCCGCCAAGTATTCGGAATGTCAAATTTCAACACATTGGTTGGAAATTTCGCTATTGTGATGCCTAAATTGGCTCGAAAATTTGAAATGGGGGCTATAGCAAAAGTTGTACAGATTTTTTCAGTGCCAAACATCCTAAAATTACTAGCAATGTATGAGAACTATTTCAGAGCTCGTTTTATATCATACACAACTATGTGGTATAGTTATGTGTGGCTCAAGAGTTATAAGACCGCGAAAAATAAGTTCTAGACCCCCCTTTTAGTATAATGATCGTAATATCTCGACTAGCTGAGTCGACCTAGTCAAGTGTATTCGTCCATCTTTTCATTCAATATTTCGGAAACACAGTACACACCACAGTTATGGACCAATCGTCACGAAACTTTGCATGTATGTTTGAGCCAAGACGACTCCTATTTTGGTGGTGATCGGTAACTATTTAGTGGCTCAAATGCACCATCGCCATTTTATCTTTTTGGCCATCGAACGTTACGAAATTTCAACTATGATGGTGATCTGGCCAAGAAATTAAAATCTGTTAATAGTTTGCGGGTATAAATGCGTGTATATTTTTCCTGAATAATATAACCGAGGAGAGAAGTTGATAATCAAATGTTGAAGTTATACGTAAACCAGTGAGCGGAGCAGTATAGTCGGACGGGGCCGACCATATGATACCCTACACAACTTCCACGACAATCTAACTTTCTGTGGTTATATATTCTGAGCATGGAAAATATTTCTAGACCGACTAGAGGTCAACAAATATTACTAATATTCAGTAAATACCTTCTAATTACTTGTCCAGATTAGCTTCACGGTGGGTTGTGTTATGATGCTCGACTTTCAATTGTGGCCTATATATTGAGTAGAAAAACACAAAAACTTAAGTTTACGGTCCACCTCATCACCGAAAATTATGGGCGTTATCCTTGAACATTCCTGGATCCTCATGGAAAATTTCAAAGCGATCCGCGCTATATTTCCGCCCTCCAGTGTGGTAATGGGTTACTGAATAATATCTGAATACATAAGCATCTGTAAATATTTAAATGTAACTCCCACATCCGAGTACATACGACAATATAATTGGTATCAATTTAAAGGTCAACCACTCCTCTTGGATATACTACCAACATCTCGGCTCTATGTTATTCAGGAGTAATTATATACGCTATAGAATACAAATTTTGCAATTTTTCACACAAAAGATAGGGTCCATTTGACCCGCTAAATATCGACCGATCTTTATAAACACAGGCATGCTCATTCTTTGGCCCAATCCCCTCCTCCATGTAGAAATTCGCAGAAACTCAGACAAAAATTTAGTTTTTGGTTCATTTCATCCCCTAAATATTAACCGATCTTTTCAAAAACAATAGGGGTCTTCATTGGGCAGAACCCATCCTACATGCAAAATTTCGTGAAGATTGGTCTATAACTGCAGCCTGTATCGTGTTTACAAATTATAATGGACAGACGGACGGATGGACGGACACACATGTCTAGATCGACTCAGCTAGTCGAGATATGCCGATCGGTATACTAAAATGTGGGTCTAGAACCAATATTTCGCGGCGTTACAAACTCTTGGGGCTGCACAAAGCTATAATACCCTGACAACATAGTTGTGTAGGGTATAAAAATTACAGGGACCTACCCATTCTGACATTGTTTTGTATTACCACACTAGAGGACGGAATTGTCGACTTGATTGATTAGAAAGTTAACAGAAGTTTCGGCTATGGTCTAGGGCAACGCTTATTATTTTCGCTGATGAAGATATGATATTTAGGGGATAAAATGAACCGAACACTTTATTTTTGTCTGGGTTTCTAATCACTTTAGAGGTCGCTATTATAAACCGAACATCACAAACGTTACACGTTGGTTGTGATAATGATAATGATAATAAAATTTGAATCTTATGGCCTAAATGTTCACTCCGGGAAAACATGATTTGGATAAGATGCCAGAGTAAAAAAAAAAACAGTGAGAGGAGCATTATAGTCTGACGGGGCCGATCATTTGATACCCTACACAACTTCCACGAAAATCTAACATAGATTCCCTTCACGGTGGGTTGGGATGTGATCAGCGATCAGCGCTATATTTATGCCCTCTAGTGTGGCAATGGGTTACTGAATACTATATCAATACGTAAGAACCTTTAAATATTTAAGTGTATCTCCCACATCCGAGTACATACGACAATATAATTGGTATGAATTATATCGATGTCCTTCAGGAGTAAACATATACGCCATAGAATACAAATTTTGTCATTTTTCACACAAAAGTCGGGGTTCATTTGACCCGCTAAATAATAACAGATTTTTATCAAAACACGCATACTTATTCTTTGGCCTGATCCCCTTCTCCGTGCAAAAATTCACGGTGTTTAGGTCATAATTACGGCCTCTGGAGCGACCAGAAAAACCGACAAAAATAAAGTTTTTGGTCCATTTCATCCCCTAAATGTAAACCGATCTTTTCGAAAAACAATAGAGGTCTTCATTGGGCCGAACCCATCCTACATGAAATTTTTCGTGAAGATTGGTCCATAACTGTGGCATGTATCGTGTTTACAAATTATAATGGACAGACGGACGGACGGACACACATGTCTAGATCGACTCAGCTAGTCGAGATATGATTATCGGTATACTTAAAGGTGGGTCTAGGACCAATATTTCTCGGCGTTACAAACTTTTGGGGCTGCACAAAGCTATAATACCCTGACAACATAGTTGTGTAGGGTATAATAAGAACTGTTGACCTCTAAACGGCCAAGATCGTGAAAATAACGCAAAGTATTGCCAAAGCTCGGAATATATATCCACATAAAGTTAGAGTTCCGTGGGAGTTGTGTAGGATATCATATGGTCGGCACCGTTCACTGGTTTTAATTTTAGTTTAAAATCCAGTGATGTGAGTGAAAACTCATTCAGAACGGGGTGAAGGCTGCTCTGAATATTCTACAGAAATGTTCGCCATAATGTTTTACTATAAGTGTCAGAATAGACTAAATCTAAAAATCTTAGAAAGACATCAAATCGTTTTAGAGTTAAGATCGTACTTATTAAACGTCATATATTTTGAACAAAAAATTCAAAAAGTTCTTGTATTTTTTTCAAAGACATTTCCCAGTACTTTTTTCGACTAGCGCATTAAAGTAACATGAAACATGATTTTAGGTATATTATGTCAAAGAATAAAATATTCCACATCAAATTCCACTGCAAGTCCCAAAACAAACTATATATTTATATTCAATAGTTTTTAAGAAATTCACAGGCCTTCTTTCATAAACTGTTGGAATTTCCCGGTAATTATCAAATAACAAAAATTAAAATTTGTCACACAGTGTAATAAATATTATCGGAAAATTATTTTCTTCAGATTTATCAAAATCTATATATTTTCATAATTATTTATATCAATGTACGTTAAGTTATAAAGAACAATAATGTAATGACCTTGAAATACCCATAATATTTCGAAGCTACCAAAAACGTTTTACTCACTCACTCACTTCTCCGCATGAAGGTAATTGGTGCCCTTATTATTCTTTAAAGTTGTTATGGCATTTTCAATAACACCATTACTACATAACTGTATGTGTATGTGTGCGTTTAGAAGTAAAATATACCAACGCTTAACAACGTTTAAAGATTCGGTATATAAACACGTTTATTTTTGGGGAATTAATCATTACACTTCTTCTACTTCAAGCATTTGAAGCAACACAGAATCTCATTACACACAAAACAATTAATCAAATCAAAATGTTCAAATTGGTAAGTAATAAAATCAATTACCGAATTTATCTAAATTGAATTTGGAATATACGGCATGTCTTCCTTTGTTCCTCCAGGTGGTTTTGTCTGCTCTATTCGCAATTGCCTTGGCTCGTCCTGGTCTTTATGAATCCGTTGAGGTCCATTCTGCTCCCTTGTCTACTGTGACTGTTCAAGAGCATGGTTATGCTCAGACGGGTTCCCTGGTAAAATCTGTACCCTCTTCCGTATCGCATCAAAGTCATTCCGTTGTCCATGGCTCCGCTCATGTTGTGCAAGATGTTTTGGCACCTGCGGTGAAGACCACTTCTTATACTACCAAGACTTTGGCTACACCTGTTGTGGAGACATACTCTGCTCCTGCCTTGCTTAAAACTGTGGCCTCTCCTGTCTTGCACACCTACGAATCAGCTCCTGTTGTAATTAAGTCGTGGTAATTCAATTGAGTTTCAATTGATATTTGGTTAAATTATTTGTGATTTGTTATTGTATTTTTTTTTGTTGAAAATATAAAAACACGATTTTTAAACGTTATATATGAAATTTGTCATTCGAAGTTGTCACAATCAGGTATATTGAATTATGAGAACTTTCTAGTAGAAAATCTCCAATAAATGCCTTTGTTTAGTTGTAGATCCCATACATATTTTTATACCCTACACAACTATATTGTCAGGGTATTATAGCTTTGAGCAGCCCCAAAAGTTTGTAGCTGAGTCGATCTAGACATGTGTGTCCGTCCGTCCGTCTGTGCATTATAATTTGTAAACACGATACAGGCCACAGTTATGGACCAATCTTCACGAAATTTTGCATGTAGGATGGGTTCTGGCCAATGAATTTAGGGGGATGAAATGGGGGATGAAATGGACCAAAAACTTTATTTTTATGTGTTTTTCTGGTCGCTCCAGAAGCCGCAATTATGGCCCAAACACCGCGAATTTTTGCACGGAGAAGGGGATCGGGCCAATGAATAAGCATGCCTGTTCCGATAAGGATCGGTCAATATTTATCGGGTCAAATGGACCCTGAATTTTGTGTGAAAAATGACAAAATGTGTATCCTATAGCGTAAAGATTTACCCCTGAAGGACATAGACCCGAGAAGATACCAATTTTATTGTCGTATGTACTCGGATGTGGGAGTTACACATAAATGTTTACAGGTGCTTACGTACTCAGATATTATTTAGTAACCCATTACAACACTAGAGGGTGGAAATATAGCGCTCATCGTTTTGAAAATTTTCACTAGTATCCAGGTATGGTCATGGACAACGCCTACAATTTTCGGTGAAGATCGGATAATAATTTTGGGATGAGGTGGGCCGAAAACCTATTTTTTTGAGTCGATTTGCAGGCCACAATTGAAAGCCGAACGTCACAAAACAACCCACGTTGAAGGGAATCTGGACAAGTAATTAGAAGGACTGTACTGAATATTAGTAATATTTGTTGACCTCTAGTGGATCAAGAGGGTGCAAACATCGCGAAATATTGCCCAAGGCCAGAATGTGGTACCACAGAAAGTTAGATGTTCATGGAAGTTGTGTAGGGTATCATATGGTCGGGCCCGTCCGACTATACTGCTCCGCTCACTGATTTAAATTTGCCATTTCGTGCTTTTAACCCCCAATAGAGAAATCGCAGACTGAAGTAGAAAAATTGTCTGCATTGGTTCCTTATTTTGAGGGGCTCAACCAAACTTCTATAACTTCCACGGTCGAGTATAATATTTTGGTATTGAAATGGAATATATCGGTTCACGTTTTGTTGTAACGCCCAAACAACATTACATCCCACGAATTTCCCAACCAAAATTGCTGTAATTTGACATTCCGGGTTCTTGGAGATAGTCATGCATATATGAAGGAGCCTTATTTTCGATATTTTGAAGGTTTTGGCCGAATGTTCCCACCAAATTTTATGTCAACTTTCAGCAACCTGTTCTGAAAATGATCAATATAGGTGCATGCTATGACTAACCTCCAATATAAGAATACCGCCCATTTGGGGTCTTTTGTAGGATATAATTTAGTATTCCAAGTTTTTGGAGCTTGGGAAAAATTGTTCATAATTATTTCTACATAGGTCCATACTTTAACCCTTTCAGTGTTTTTGTCGAATATATTCGACATTTAAAATTACTCTCCTTCTTTGCGTTTTTTTTCGGTTATCCTATGAACCGTTACAATTAATGTTTTTGTTTTTGCTGAAAGACACACAAAACTGTCCGAGGAATAAAATAAGAATAGTTTTTTTTTTTCTAAACTCTGTGCCGACAACAATTTTTTTGACATTGAAAGGGTTAATAGAACCCCCTAACGAGCGCAATTCGGAAAGTTCTTAGCCAAGCCAAAAATTGCGGTATAAACAGAAAAAAATTAAGTGTTTAGGAAACTTCCATCTCTGTTATGAACACATGTTAAATTTTGTTTCGATCTGGCAACTCCTTCATATAGAAACAGGTGTTCAAAAAATTTGTACAATAAAAGCACACATTTCTAATTTTTCCATTGAAAAAAACTGCGTATGCGTCTTTTTGAACACCTGATTCTATATGAAGGAGTTGCCAGATCGAAACAAAATTTAACATGTGTTCATAACAGAGATGGAAGTTTCCAAAACACTTAATTTTTTCTGTTTATACCTCGACTTTTGTGCTAGGCTAAGAACTTTCCGAACTTGGCTCGTGTGATTCATATGATTCTCCGCCCCATTTTCTGTATTCTAAAGGTTTTAGCTTATTTTTGGCTGTAATTTGACATTCCAGATTTTTTTTATAAAAAAAACTTCTTCTACAAGAATGGTGTCGCTTAATTTTTGATACGTCAAAGTTTCATGTTCAGTTTTTGCAACCTAGGCACTCAATTTCCTCAATTCGTAATCTGAATCTCATTTTGAAGGATTAGGCCTGGTCGTCGTTAACGATTTTTTAATTATGTATATTAATTCCTGTGGTAAATAGAATGTTCATTGAAACATTTATTGCTTGTTTTTCTCTATTTACTACATAACTACATTTATTCTGCACACATGATTACAATATTGAAATATTTAATCACATGTCTAGATAATTATTCAATATTGTTTTCTACAATAATAACAATTTGCACCTTGTGATGTTCATGTTTAATATACACGAGAATATGGTGAAGCAGCATAGGTACCATATGGAGATGATGAAACATAACCGCCATGATATACTGGAGCCGAAACAGTTCGCAAAACGGGTGTTACATATGAAGTTCTGACCACTGGGGCGACAACGTCCTGAACAACATGAGCCGATTTATGAACTACAGAATGACTAGCATGTGACACCGAAGTGGGAACGGTATGGACTACAGCTCCAACTGTGGCCAAGGCAGGTTGATGTATGGCAACTGTAGGTTGATTATAGGTTACATAGGGTGCTGAAGCAACCAGACCACTGGGACGGGCCACAGCCAAGGCAATGAGAGCAGATAATACCAACTGAAAAAAAAACAAATAGATTTAAATATATGAAAAAGACTTTGGAATAAAAATTGTGTATGAAGTTCTTTATATTGTTTAAAAAATTCACGATGGTAAAAATTGTGAAAAAAATTGTTAATCCAATATTAAATAAATTGAGTGTCGGATTTGATTCAAACTGCGCACATCTAAGTATGTTTACCAACTCTAAATTAAGTCTGATGATAGGATACAAAAAATATTCCTTAATCCTAATTTTTGTAAGGATTTTATAATATTAAGAAAAATTATTAAAAATTTTTTGTATTATGTTTTAACTCACCAATTTGAACATTTTCGATTTTTGTTTTGTTTCTAATAACTTTCTACTAATGTTTAACTAAGTGAAGTATTAAATAAGTTTGCTGAATAAATCTTTGATTAGCAGAGTATTTATAGTTACAAATAGTTTACTTTCTTGGAAAATATTCTAATATAAGTGAAATGAGATATTATGCAGCTCGGGGTATTTTTAATATAACCTTGTGTTAAGCTTCACTGGGTGCAAGAAATGTAAATCATAACTGATTTCAATTTTTTTTTTCATTGTAATAGTCATGATCATAAATCCTGTTGTTGTTTTTATTGTTAATTTTAATTAGCAGTAATATGTTTGTAATGTAAATAGAGCTGTAATTAGATCTAAAATCAGCGGATGGCATCTCAAAGCAATTGACAGATTTTAACAGCCACTATCATGAGCATAACTTGTATCCCCAATCGCCGGTTTTTTTGATTTGTTTTGATTTTTTTTCAGTTTCGTATGAATGAATTTATCGAAAAACAACAGCTCAGCTAGCTGGCAATTTATTAGCTAGTCATTAACAAAATATTTTCTTTTATTCATTGCTTCCGATAAAATATTTTTTTTTTGCCAAAAATGTTATTATTATTTGTTTTTGCTTTTATTGATAAATTTCCATGATTTTTGGCCACCAGAAAAATAAAATATTAAGTAAATAATCATTAAATTGATTGAGCGGAAATAAAGGTTCTTGCTTCCTCTGGCTATGGGTAGGTGTTATTATACATACATATACTAAAAATTATAGTAAAAAGATTAATACAAAGTAAATTCTAAAAAATATGCACTTCAAAATTGAACATTTAAAAATTACGGATTTATCCACGATTATTATTCTGAATGTACTTGGAATTTTATGGTTTTCAAAACAGGTCCCAGGAAAAACCTTGTTTTAAAAACTGAATAGTTCTAGGAAAAATATTAACTGAAAAATCTACGCTTCTTATTCTGGATGCCCTAGGAAAAATATTCATTGAAAAATCTACGCTTCTTATTCTGGATGCCCTAGGAAAAACATTAATTGAAAAATCTACGCTTCTTGTTGTGGAAGTCATAGGGAAAATATTATTGCTTCTAGGCATAATATTATGTGAAAAATCCACGCTTCTTGTTCTGAAGGTCTAAGGCTAATCCTTGAAAAAATATTTGTTAAAAAATCCACGCTTATTGGTCTGCTAGTCCTTGAAAAAAATATTTGTTAAAAAATCCAAGCTTATTGGTCTGCTAGTCCTTGAAAAAAATATTTGTAAAAAATCCACGCTCATTGGTCTGCTAGTCCTTGAAAAAAAAATATTTGTTAAAAAATTCACGCTCATTTGTCAGCTAGTCCTTGAAAAAAATATTTGTTAAAAAATCCACGCTCATTGCTCTGCTAGTCCTTGAAAAAATATTTGTTAACAAATCCACGCTCATTGGTCTGCTAGTCCTTGAAAAAAAATATTTGTTAACAAATCCACGCTCATTGGTCTGCTAGTCCTTGAAAAAATATGTTTTAAAATATCTACGCTTATTGTTCTAACAGTTTTATGTAAAACCATTGAGCGGAGCAGTATAGTCGGTAGGGGCCGACCGTACGATATCCTTCACAACTACCACAGAACTCTAACTCCCTGCGAATGTTTATTCCGAGTCAGGGTAATATTATATTTGCCCGAAAAACCAACAAAAATTAGAGGTCAACAGCATCCAATAGGGGTGTTCATTGGGCATAACCCTTACATTTTCGATTGGCCCAAACTGTCATGTTTACAAATTATAATAGATCGACTCAGCTAGTCGAGATATGACGATCGATATACTTAAAAGTGGGTCTAGAACCCATATGTCGCTGCGTTTCAAACTCTTGGGGCTGCACAAAGCTATAATACCCTCACAACAAAAAATAAAATTTACATTTATTGTTCTAGGAACCAAGGAAAAATATCGATTATTATCTGCTAGTTCTTGGACACATATTCTTGAGAATAAAATCCACGCTCATTTGTCTGCTATCCATAGACAAATATTTAAGAAAAACACACACACACTTATCCGTCCACTATTCATAAAAAATATGATTAAAAAATCTACGCATATTGGACTTCTAGTTTTTGCAAAATATTTTTTTTTAAATGCGCTCAAGCTTATAGAAATATACGAGGACAGTTCGGAAAGTTCTTAGCCTATCACAAAAAGCGCGGTATAAACGGAAAAAAGTTAAGTGTTTTGGAAACTTCCATCTCTGTTGTGAACACATGTTCAATTTTGTTTCGTTCTGGTAACTCCTTCAAAAAAGACGCATCCGCAATTTTTGACAATGGAAAAATTAGAAATGCTTGCTTTCATTGTAAAAAAAATTGCGGATGCGCCTTTTTTGAACACCTGTTTCTATATGAAGGAGTTGCCGGATCGAAACAAAATTCAAAATGTGTACATAACAGAGATGGAACTTTCCCCAAACATTTATTTTTTTCTGCTAATATCACGCTTTTTGTGCTAGACAAACTTTCCGAACTGCCCTGGTATTATGTAAAAAATTCACGCTTATGGAACGGCTATTCCTTTTTTTAACAAAAACACCCTTTTAAGCTAGGAAATTTATTTTTTAAGCTAGTTCATGGGAATATATTCGTGAAATAATCCACGCTTACTTATCATTGGAAGTTTTGAACAGAATTCTTTCCCTCGTCTTTTGGAAAATATCTTTTCAATATTAACTCTGATAATCCATGCTTATGTGTATGTTAACACATGAAAAACTATTCTTAAAAAATCACTTTTGTACGACTGACAGCCCTAGGATAATATTTTTTAAAAACATTTTTAGCTTCGTTAGCCCTTGAATTTTTTAATACACGCTAATTGCTCTGCCAGCCCCTGCAGAAATATTCTTCGTGGAAAATGACTCGTGGCACGCCTATATACGTGGATTTGGAAACTATTTTTCTTCTTGGAAATATTTCTTAGACACTCTTCTAGTAGGTCTAATATATTTGATACATTTTTTGTACACCGATATTTCTTCGTCTTACTTCAACTTTACATAATTAATAGGAAGATAGGTGTACTATTCGACACTACCCTCTCCGACACTCACAAAAACTGTGTGATTCACAAAAGTGTAATTCTTTTAATGACCCCAGCAAATAATAAATATGTCATGTGCGGGAATGTCTTTCGTTGTTGTTGTTATTGTTATTCTCATCGCGACTTGGTGGGCACTGGATGTTAAGACAAACAAATTAACAACAAATCATTATCTAAAAAAACATAATTAATTTTGGTGGAGTTGTAGTGTTTTAATGTGTAAGTTTCTTAGTATATATACTACGGCGTTTTTGCAAGAAGTTATCAATCACGCCAAGTACTTCTCAACGAATACAACTAAGAAAATAAAACAAAAAATTCTCAAAATGTACAAATTGGTAGGTGGAAATAAAATAAAATTTTATTCAAATAATATGCCAGGAGATAAAAATATATCAAATAATTAAACAAAATTATATCTTTTATAGTTTGTCCTTGCTGCCTTCTTTGCCATTGCTGCTGCCCGTCCTGGATATTTGGGTGGATCTCATGTCGCCTATACTGCACCTTTGACAACCACCATTGTCCAAGAGCCAACATTGGCCCATGTTGGCACGGTTGTAAAGAGCATTCCCACCGCTGTTTCTCATCAATCCATCTCTCAAGTTCATTCCTCGGCCCAATATGTGCAACCTATTGTTACTCCTGTTGTGAAGACTATTGCCACACCTTTGGTCCACTCTTATGGTGCCACACCTTTGGTCTCCTCTGCCTACACTAGCTATGGCGCTGCTCCCGTATTGAAAACTTATGGCTCTTATGCTCCTTCTTATGTTGGTGCCTACGGCAGTCACGGTTGGTAAAGATCGGTGGCCGTACACATATATTTAGGACAAAAGAATTTGTTTGGTACTTTGTGATTGTTACGATTTAAATAAAAATATATTAAAAAAAATAAATGTTGGTAATTTTTTATTCTATTTAAGAAATCACAAAATCGGAAGGTAAACTATTTAAATTTATAGCACTAAGACCCTATAGAAAAATATTCTTAAAAAAGCGTGGAGTTTTTAAAGAATTTTTTGATATGCTAGTCATGGGAAAAATATTCTTTAAAAATCACGCTTATTAATCTGCTAGTCATGGAAAAAATATTCTTTAAAAAATCGTGGGAAAATATTCTTTAAAAAATCCACGCTTATAGATCACGCTTATAGATCTGATAGTCGTGGGAAAATATTTTTTAAAAAATCCACGCTTATAGATCTGATAGTCGTGGGAGAATATTTTTTAAAAAATCCACGCTTATAGATCTGATAGTCGTGGGAAAATATTTTTTAAAAAATCCACGCTTATAGATCTGATAGTCGTGGGAAAATATTTTTTAAAAAATGTTATTTAAAAAATCCATGCTTATAGATCTGATAGTCGTGGGAAAATATTTTTTAAAAAATCCACGCTTATAGATCTGATAGTCGTGGGAAAATATTCTTTAAAAAAATCCACGCTTATAGATCTGATAGTCGTGGGAAAATGTTTTTTAAAAAATCCACGCTTATAGATCTGATAGTCGTGGGAAAATGTCCTTTAAATATCCACACTTATATATCTGATAGTCGTGGGAAAATTTTCTTTAAATATCCACACTTATAGATCTGATAGTCGTGGGAAAATGTTTTTTAAAAAATCCACGCTTATAGATCTGATAGTCGTGGGAAAATGTTTTTTAAAAAATCCACGCTTATAGATCTGATAGTCGTGGGAAAATGTTTTTTAAAAAATCCACGCTTATAGATCTGATAGTCGTGGGAAAATGTTTTTTAAAAAATCCACGCTAATAGATCTGATAGTCGTGGGAAAATGTTTTTTAAAAAATCCACGCTTATAGATCTGATAGTCGTGGGAAAATGTTTTTTAAAAAATCCACGCTTATAGATCTGATAGTCGTGGGAAAATGTTTTTTAAAAAATCCACGCTTATAGATCTGATAGTCGTGGGAAAATGTTTTTTAAAAAATCCACGCTTATAGATCTGATAGTCGTGGGAAAATGTTTTTTAAAAAATCCACGCTTATAGATCTGATAGTCGTGGGAAAATGTTTTTTAAAAAATCCACGCTTATAGATCTGATAGTCGTGGGAAAATGTTTTTTAAAAAATCCACGCTTATAGATCTGATAGTCGTGGGAAAATGTTTTTTAAAAAATCCACGCTTATAGATCTGATAGTCGTGGGAAAATGTTTTTTAAAAAATCCACGCTTATAGATCTGATAGTCGTGGGAAAATGTTTTTTAAAAAATCCACGCTTATAGATCTGATAGTCGTGGGAAAATGTTTTTTAAAAAATCCACGCTTATAGATCTGATAGTCGTGGGAAAATGTTTTTTAAAAAATCCACGCTTATAGATCTGATAGTCGTGGGAAAATGTTTTTTAAAAAATCCACGCTTATAGATCTGATAGTCGTGGGAAAATGTTTTTTAAAAAATCCACGCTTATAGATCTGATAGTCGTGGGAAAATGACCTTTAATTAAAATAAATGACCTTTAAATATCCACACTTATAGATCTGATAGTCGTGGGAAAATATTTTTTAAAAAATCCACGCTTATAGATCTGATAGTCGTGGGAAAATGTTCTTTAAAAAATCCACGCTTATAGATCTGATAGTCGTGGGAAAATGTTTTTTAAAAAAATCCACCTTATAAATAGTCGTGGGAAAATGTTTTATAGGGAAATGACCTTTAGATTGAAAATGGGAAAATGACCTTTAAATATCCACACTTATAGGGAAATGACCTTTAATTAAAATAAATGACCTTTAAATATCCACACTTATAGATCTGATAGTCGTGGGAAAATATTTTTTAAAAAATCCACGCTTATAGATCTGAAGGTCAATTGAAAAATATTCTTTAAAAAATCCACGCTTATCGATCTGATAGTCGTGGGATTCTTTAAATATCCACGCTTATAGATCTGCTAGTCATGGGAAAAATATTCTTTAAAAAATCCACGCTTATAGATCTGCTAGTCATGGGAAAATATTCTTTAAAAAATCCACGCTTATAGATCTGATAGTCGTGGGAAAATATTCTTTAAAAAATCCACGCTTATAGATCTGATAGTCGTGGCAAAATATTCTTTAAAAAATCCACGCTTATAGATCTGATAGTCGTGGGAAAATATTCTTTAAAAAAGCCACGCTTATAGATCTGATAGTCATGGGAGAAATATTCTTTAAAAAATCCACGCTTATAGATCTATTAGTCGTGGGAAAATATTCTTTAAAAAATCCACGCTTATAGAACTGATAGTCGTGGGAAAATGTTTTTTAAAAAATCCACGCTTATAGATCTGCTAGTCATGGGAAAAATATTCTTTAAAAAATCCACGCTTATTGATTGTTAGCAATTGAAAAATATTATTTAAAAAATTGGCTTATAGATCTGATAGTCGTGGGAAAATATTCTTTAAAAAATCTTTATAAATTCTTCGATTATTGATCTGCCAGTCATGGGAAAAATATTCCTTATAAAATCTACGTTTATTGTTCAGCTAGTCATATCCACATCTATAGTCCTTCTCAACACTTATTGAGGCCTTTAAATTTTTTATTTAAAGAATTCACATTTATTGCGATGTTGGTCCATGAAAAAGATTGTCCACGTTTTATTTTAGTAATTCAGTAGCTCTGGCAGACCCACACAACATATTTTTTTTAGCTCAATACCGTTTTCTTTATTTCCAATGCATATAGGTGTTATGTTTCTTGAGTGGCATCATGGGCGTGAATCTTTTGTAACTGAAATATACATGGGCTATTATTCATTCAAACAGCTGATAAAGAACAATTCTTAAAAATCCAATTAAGTTAATATATCGATATCATTTATGGCGAGCAATAAAATAATTCAAATTAATTTTAACATGCGCCCTTTTAAAATATCGGCAATTAAATTTAACCCCCCTTCACTACAAAAAATCGCAAACTAGACATTTCGTTGAAAATATTTACATTACAAACTAAGTCAGTCCGACATAATATCTTCGTTTTTATTGTCCGTGTTGTTTTGCCTAGTTTTGACTTTGACTTAATTAACGTGATGACAGGTGTGTGTGCGTGTGTTGGTTGGTTGACGGTTTGCTCTAAACCAAATTTTATTGGCTGTCACACAAATTTGTAATTCTTTTAATGACCACACCAGCAGCAGACATACAATGACTATTCCATGTGGTTGGTGGTTTGTGGCGGGAATGCCACAGGTTGTTGTTCTCATATGTCTGTCCATTTTGAGAAATGAGGGCTGAGAAATAAATAAAAGCATCATTATCCAAAAACAAGGTTTATTTTAATTAAGTTTTAGTTTAATGCATATTTCATAGTATATATACTACGTGGTTTCCGCAAGAATGTATCAATCACGTCAAATACCTCTCAACGGATACACCTGAAAAAAAACTTTAATCAAAATGTTCAAATTGGTAAGTAGAACCACCAATTTTATTAAAAAGAACACTATATAAAATTCCCTTCCTATCATAGTTTGTCCTTGCTGCCTTCTTTGCTATTGCTGCTGCCCGTCCCGGCTACTTGGGTGGTTCTCATGTTGCCTATAGCGCACCTTTGACAACCACTATTGTCCAACCATCGTTGGCCCATGTTGGCACCGTTGTGAAGAGCATTCCCACCGCTGTATCCCATCAATCCATCACTCAAGTTCACTCCGGCGGTCATTATGTACAACCTATTGTTACTCCTGTCGTGAAAACCTACACTGCTCCTGTCTACAAAACTGCTGCCACTCCTTTGGTTCACTCATATGGTGCTACTCCCTTAGTCTCATCTGCCTACACTAGCTATGGTGCTGCTCCTGTATTGAAAACTTATGGTGCTTATGCTCCATCTTATGTTGGTGCCTACGGTGGTAACTACGGTTGGTAAAGATCTGTGGCCACTAGAAATTGATAAGGACAAAAGATTTTGAATGGTATTCGTGATTGTTATGAGATTTGAATAAAGAACGATTTTAAATTTAAATATGAAACATTTTGTAATTAATTTAAGAGGAATTTAATTTCTACATCAATAGGTCGGATATTTCATGGAAAACACAAATGAAATGCCCACTCAGATATCCCTTATAGTCCTTGGACTGAAGGTCTTGGAAAAATAAAAAAAGGCTTTAGAAAAATCCACGCCTATTGATCTGAAAGGCATTGAAAAATATCTTTTAAAAATCCACAATTATTGGACTGAAGGCCTTGAAGAAATATTCTTTAAAATCCACACTTATTGAACTGAACGGCCTTGGAAAATATTCCATAAAAATCTACGCTTATTGATCTGAAAGGCATTGGAAAATATTCTTTAAAAATCCACGCTTATTGATCTGAAAGACATTGGAAAATATTCCATAAAAATCTACGCTTATTGATCTGAAAGGCATTGGAAAATATTCCATAAAAATCTACGCTTATTGATCTGAAAGGCATTGGAAAATATTCTTTAAAAATCCACGCTTATTGATCTGAAAGGCATTGGAAAATATTCTTTAAAAATCTACGCTTATTGATCTGAAAGGCATTGGAAAATATTCTTTAAAAATCCACGCTTATTGATCTGAAAGGCATTGGAAAATATTCTTTAAAAATCCACGCTTATTGATCTGAAAGGCATTGGAAAATATTCTTTAAAAATCCACGCTTATTGATCTGAAAGGCATTGGAAAATATTCTTTAAAAATCCACGCTTATTGATCTGAAAGGCATTGGAAAATATTTTTTAAAAATCCACGCTTATTGATCTGAGAGATCTTGATAAAAAATAAAAATATTCTTTAAAAATCCACGCTTACTGGTCATGAGAAAAATATTCTTTAAAAATCCACGCTTACTGGTCATGAGAAAAATATTCTTTAAAAATCCACGCTTACTGGTCATGGGAAAAATATTCTTTAAAAATCCACGCTTACTGGTCATGGGAAAAATATTCTTTAAAAATCCACGCTTACTGGTCATGAAAAAAATATTCTTTAAAAATCCACGCTTACTGGTCATGAGAAAAATATTCTTTAAAAATCCACGCTTATCGATCTGAGAGATCTTGATAAAAAATAAAAATATTCTTAAAAAATCCACGCTTACTGGTCATGAGAAAAATATTCTTTAAAAATCCACGCTTACTGGTCATGAGAAAAATATTCTTTAAAAATCCACGCTTACTGGTCATGAGAAAAATATTCTTTAAAAATCCACGCTTACTGGTCATGAAAAAAATATTCTTTAAAAATCCACGCTTACTGGTCATGAGAAAAATATTCTTTAAAAATCCACGCTTACTGGTCATGGGAAAAATATTCTTTAAAAATCCACGCTTACTGGTCATGGGAAAAATATTCTTTAAAAATCCACGCTTACTGGTCATGGGAAAAATATTCTTTAAAAATCCACGCTTACTGGTCAGATATTCATATCCACATCTATAGCACTTCTCACACACCTATGCGTCTTGTAGCCTTTAACATTTTTAATTAAAGAATCATGAAAAATATCCTTAAATTTTTTATCTGAGAGACCTTGGAAAAATAGATTTTAAAAATTCACGTTTGCTTATCTGAGAGAACTTCGTTCTTTAAAAACTCCAGCCTATTGTTGTGGTGTCCCTTGGAAAATATGCTTTTAAAATCGGTTCTACTGGCTTTGGAAAAATCAACATTCTTTATAACCTTCACCACTCTGTGGTACAGGGTATTATGTCTTTGTGCATATGTTTGTAACAGGCAAAAGGAATCGAGATAGACCCATGGTTCCTTTTGAGAATATGCATAGAATCACTTTCTGAGTCGATTTACGCATGTCCGTCAAAGTACAGGTCGCATTTATGATCCGATTTGGATGAAATTTGGCACAGTTCACTTATTTGGCCCAAGGACGAACCCTATTCAAATTGGAGAAAAATGGTTCAGATTTAGATATAGCTCCCATATATAGTTTCGTCCGATTTTAGGTAAATGATGCACCAAACTCCCAATATTTTTCCGATTGACACAAAATTTTGCACAGAGTACTGCATATTTGTCCGATTGGCACAACATTTTGCATAGAGTACTGCATTAGATACAGACTGATGACTGCGAAGTTTTTTTTAATTGGTTCAAAAAAATATTCTTTAAAAAATTCTGATTGAGTAAAAGTTTATTGTGATACGTGAAAATCGGCAGATTTATATATAGGTCCGATTTTATGTAAATGGTGGTTACACGAACTGGTTACAGGATATTGTAGATATTAACATGTCTTGCATGTACCCCTTGAACTTTCCTTACTGGTTTTCTTTTATGACATGTAAAAATATTTTTGAAAAAAATATTCTTTAAAAAATTCTAGTTTATTGTGCTAAAAATCCGCTCCATAAACATTCCTCTGCTTGCCTTAGGGAAATTATTTTTTAAAACCCCATATTTATAGCCCATAGCCCTTGGATAAATACTTTATAAAAATATCTGGCTATAACAATGATTTTTTTTTTTAAACTAAGGTAATCAAATATAGCCTCGCCTAATTAATGATAAATCTTAAAACTCGCTCTTAATCTAATTTTTTATGCCTATTTGATGGCCCGTATTGCAAATTACTACGAAATAACGTGACGTCGATGAGGTTAATGAGTGTATTTACTCGCTGTGCTTGACGAATAGCTTTAGACCAAATTTGATTGGCTGTCACAAACCTGTAGTACATTTAATGACCCCAGCCAGCGATACATATTTCGTGTGGGATATGTGTGGTTGTTATTCTCCAGAATGTAGAAACTGTGTTGGATAATGAAATCTGCAAAGAGAAACAAAAACAACAAAAATTACCAAGATATTAATTTAATAGTTTTTTATTTTCATGTGAATGCTTCGTAGTATATATACTACACATTTTTGGCAAGAAGTTATCAATCACATCAAGTACCTCTCAGCGTCTACAACTAAGAAAACAAAAACAAAAAACTCAAAATGTACAAATTGGTATGTTGGAAAAATAGCTCATTTAGAAAAATATATTTATTTGTAAACAAAATTGTCACTAACGATATATATTTCCCTTTTAGTTTGTCCTTGCTGCCTTCTTTGCCATTGCTGCTGCCCGTCCCGGATATTTGGGTGGTTCTCATGTCGCCTATACTGCACCTTTGGCAACCACTATTGTCCAAGAACCAACATTGGCCCATGTTGGTACCGTAGTGAAGAGCATTCCCACCGCTGTTTCTCATCAATCCATCTCTCAAGTTCACTCCTCGGCCCAATATGTGCAGCCTATTGTTACTCCTGTTGTTAAAACCTATACTGCTCCAGTATATAAAACTTACACTCCTGTTGTGAAGACTATTGCCACACCTTTGGTTCACTCCTATGGTGCTTCTCCATTGGTTTCATCTGCCTACACCAGCTATGGTGCTGCTCCCGTATTGAAAACTTATGGCTCTTATGCTCCATCTTATGTTGGTGCCTACGGCAGCCACGGATGGTAAATACCGGTAGACCCAGAAAATTATTAAGGACAAAAGATTTTGTTTGGTACTTTGTGATTGTTACGATTTAAATAAAAAAAGTTATGAATTTTAAATAAATATTGTCTAATTTATTAATTGACTAGATCGGATTCTTTCGTATATATATATATATATATATATATATATAGTTTTTAAATCACTAGCAGAGCAATAAGGATTGATTCTTATAGACATTTTCCCAAGATGTATTTCATCTTGAAACAAATGGTGTGAAGAACAGTTTGAAGGGCCATCAAACATTCAAAATTTTTAAACAATATTTTCCAGGGTCATCTGACCAATAAACTTTAATTTTTAAGACTAGTTTTTCACGACTCATCACACCAATAAGAGTGGATTTTAAAAACATATTTTCTAATGGTCTTCAAATCAATAAGCGGAGATTTTTCAAGGAATAGATTTTCAATCGTTACAGGGACGTCTGACAAATAAACATAGATTTTTGATGAATATTATTCAAAGGGCCAATAAGGGTAGATTTAAAAAATCCAAGAATCTTCAGTGGAATAGAAGTGGATTTTTAAGAGCTATCAGACCAATAAGCTTGGATTCTTTTATAGCAGATCTTTCAAGGGTCATGCGATCAATATGTGTGGATTTTTTGAAGAATACATTTGCCATTGGTCATCAGTCCAATGAACGTGGATCGTTTAAAGAATATTTTTGCATGGGGTCATCAGACCAACAGGCGTGGATTTTTTAAAGAATATTTTTCAATGGGGTCATCAGAACAAAAAGCGTGGATTTTTTAAAGAATATTTTTCAAGGGTCATCAGACCAACAAGCGTGGAGTGGATTTTTTAAAGCATATTTTTCAAGGGTCATCAGACCAACAAGGGTGGATTTTTTAAAGCATATTTTTCAAGGGTCATCAGACCAACAAGCGTGGATTTTTTAAAGAATATTTTTCCATGGGGTCATCAGACCAACAGGCGTGGATTTTTTAAAGAATATTTTTCAAGGGTCATCAGACCAACAAGCGTGGATTTTTTAAAGAATATTTTTCAAGGGTCATCAGACCAACAAGCGTGGATTTTTTAAAGAATATTTTTCAAGGGTCATCAGACCAACAAGCGTGGATTTTTTAAAGATCATCAGACCAATAAGCGTGGATTTTTTAAAGAATATTTTTCAAGGGTCATCAGACCAACAAGCGTGGATTTTTTTAAAGAATATTTTTCAAGGGTCATCAGACCAGCAAGCGTGGATTTTTTTAAAGAATATTTTTCAAGGGTCATCAGACCAGCAAGCGTGGATTTTTTAAAGAATATTTTTCAAGGGTCATCAGACCAACAAGCGTGGATTTTTTAAAGAATATTTTTCAAGGTCATCAGACCAACAGTGGATTTTTTAAAGAATATTTTTCAAGGGTCCACCAATAAGCGTGGATTTTTTAAAGAATATTTTTCAAGGGTCATCAGACCAACAAGCGTGGATTTTTTAAAGAATATTTTTCAAGGGTCATCAGACCAACAAGCGTTGATTTTTAAAGAATATTTTTCAAGGGTCATCAGGCCAACAAGCGTGGATTTTTAAAGAATATTTTTCAAGTGTCATCATACCAACAAACGTGGTTTTTTTAAAAAAATATATTTTGCAAGTGTCATTAGACCAACAAGCGTGGATTTTTTAAAGAATATTTTTCAATGGGGTCATCAGAACAAAAAGCGTGGATTTTTTAAAGAATATCTTTCAAGGGTCATCAGACCAACAAGCTTGAATTTTTTTTAAAGAATATCTTTCAAGGGTCATCAGACCAACAAGCTTGAATTTTTTTTTAAAGAATATTTTTCAAGGGTCATCAGACCAACAAGCGTGGATTTTTTAAAGAATATTTTTCATGGGTCATCAGTCCAACAAGCGTGGATTTTTTAAAGAATATTTTTCAAGGGTCATCAGACCAATAAGCGTGGATTTTTTAAAGAATAGTTTTCAAGGGTCATCAGCGTGGATTTTTTAAAGAATATTTTTCAAGGTCATCAGCGTGGATTTTTTAAAGAATATTTTTCAAGGTCATCAGCGTGGATTTTTTAAAGAATGTTTTTCAAGGGTTATCAGACCAGCAAGCGTGGATTTATTAAAGAATATTTTTCAAGGGTCATCAGACCAACAAGCGTGGATTTTTTAAAGAATATTTATACCCTACACAACTATGTTGTCAGGGTATTATAGCTTTGTGCAGCCCCAAATGTTTGTAACGCCGCGAAATATTGGTCCTAGACCCACCTTTAAGTATACCGATCGTCATATCTCGACTAACTGAGTCGATCTAGACATGTGTGTCCGTCCGTCCGTCTGTCCATTATAATTTGTAAACACGATACAGGCCACAGTTATGGACCAATCTTCACGAAATTTTGCATGTAGGATGAAGACCCCTATTGTTTTTGGAAAAGATCGGTTAATATTTAGGGGATGAAATGGACCAAATACTAAATTTTTGTCGGTTTTTCTGGTCGCTCCAGAGGCCGCAATTATGGCCCAAACACCGCGAATTTTTGCATGGAGAAGGGGATCGGGCCAGAGAATAAGCATGCATGTTTTGATAAAGATCGGTCAATATTTAGCGGGTCAAATGGACCCTGACTTTTGTGTGAAAAATGACAAAATTTGTATTCTATGGCATATATATTTACTCCTGGAGGATGTAGACCCCAGGAGTTGATAGCATATCCGAGAGGAGTGGTTGGCCTTTAAATTGATACCAAATATAGTGATGTATCTACTCAGATGTGGGAGTTACAGTCAAATATTTACAGGTGCTTACGTATTCAGATATTATTTAGTAACCCATTACCACATTAGAGGGAGAAATATCGCGCTGATGGCTTTGAAATTGTTCATGAGGTTCCAGTTATGGTCAAGAACAACGCCTATAATTTTCGGTGATGATCAGATTAAAATTTTGGGATGAAATGGACGGAGAATATAATTTTTTGTGTGTTTTCGAGTAGAGTATAATCCAAAAATCACAACACAACCCACCGTGAAGGTAATCTGGACAAGTAATTAGAAGGACTGTACTGAATATTCGAAAATAGTAAGGAACAGGTGTTGTTAACCTCTAATCGGACAAGAGGGGGCAACTATCACGAAATATTACTCAGACTCGGAATAAACATCCTCAGAAAGTTAGAGTTCGTGGTAGTTGTGTAGGGTATCGTATGGTCGGCCCCGTCCGACTATACTGCTCCGCTCACTGGTTTTCATCTGTCCAATGAACGTTCACTTTTATAGAATGTATTTTCCAGGGTCATCAGACCAATAATCGTCGAATTTTTAAAGGAATATGTATTTTTTAAGATCTTTTTATTCAAAGGACTAATAGGGGTATAAAGTGGAATTTGTATTATTGTCTAAATGATTTCCTTATTTTTTTAATCCGAGTTATAAATTAAAAAAAAAATAACTCAATGTTCAATATTTTATTTTAAAATCGATCTTTATTTAAAACGCATAACAAGCACGAAGTACCAAATATCCTTATAAAATTTGTGTTGCCACCGATCTTTACCAACCGTAGTTACCGCTGTAGGCACCAACATAAGTTGGAGCATATGCGCCATAAGTTTTCAATACGGGAGCAGCCCCATAGCTAGCATAGGCAGATGAAACCAATGGTCATCAGCGTGGATTTTTTAAAGAATATTTTTCAAGGTCCAACTGAGGCGTGGATTTATTAAAGAATATTTTTCAAGGGCCAACTGAAGCGTGGATTTATTAAAGAATATTTTTCAAGGGTTATCAGACCAGCAAGCGTGGATTTATTAAAGAATATTTTTCAAGGGTCATCAGACCAACAAGCGTGGATTTTTTAAAGAATATTTATACCCTACACAACTATGTTGTCAGGGTATTATAGCTTTGTGCAGCCCCAAATGTTTGTAACGCCGCGAAATATTGGTCCTAGACCCACCTTTAAGTATACCGATCGTCATATCTCGACTAACTGAGTCGATCTAGACATGTGTGTCCGTCCGTCCGTCCGTCTGTCCATTATAATTTGTAAACACGATACAGGCCACAGTTATGGACCAATCTTCACGAAATTTTGCATGTAGGATGAAGACCCCTATTGTTTTTGGAAAAGATCGGTTAATATTTAGGGGATGAAATGGACCAAATACTAAATTTTTGTCGGTTTTTCTGGTCGCTCCAGAGGCCGCAATTATGGCCCAAACACCGCGAATTTTTGCATGGAGAAGGGGATCGGGCCAGAGAATAAGCATGCATGTTTTGATAAAGATCGGTCAATATTTAGCGGGTCAAATGGACCCTGACTTTTGTGTGAAAAATGACAAAATTTGTATTCTATGGCATATATATTTACTCCTGGAGGATGTAGACCCCAGGAGTTGATAGCATATCCGAGAGGAGTGGTTGGCCTTTAAATTGATACCAAATATAGTGATGTATCTACTCAGATGTGGGAGTTACAGTCAAATATTTACAGGTGCTTACGTATTCAGATATTATTTAGTAACCCATTACCACATTAGAGGGAGAAATATCGCGCTGGACCCTGACTTTTGTGTGAAAAATGACAAAATTTGTATTCTATGGCATATATATTTACTCCTGGAGGATGTAGACCCCAGGAGTTGATAGCATATCCGAGAGGAGTGGTTGGCCTTTAAATTGATACCAAATATAGTGATGTATCTACTCAGATGTGGGAGTTACAGTCAAATATTTACAGGTGCTTACGTATTCAGATATTATTTAGTAACCCATTACCACATTAGAGGGAGAAATATCGCGCTGATGGCTTTGAAATTGTTCATGAGGTTCCAGTTATGGTCAAGAACAACGCCTATAATTTTCGGTGATGATCAGATTAAAATTTTGGGATGAAATGGACGGAGAATATAATTTTTTGTGTGTTTTCGAGTAGAGTATAATCCAAAAATCACAACACAACCCACCGTGAAGGTAATCTGGACAAGTAATTAGAAGGACTGTACTGAATATTCGAAAATAGTAAGGAACAGGTGTTGTTAACCTCTAATCGGACAAGAGGGGGCAACTATCACGAAATATTACTCAGACTCGGAATAAACATCCTCAGAAAGTTAGAGTTCGTGGTAGTTGTGTAGGGTATCGTATGGTCGGCCCCGTCCGACTATACTGCTCCGCTCACTGGTTTTCATCTGTCCAATGAACGTTCACTTTTATAGAATGTATTTTCCAGGGTCATCAGACCAATAATCGTCGAATTTTTAAAGGAATATGTATTTTTTAAGAACTTTTTATTCAAAGGACTAATAGGGGTATAAAGTGGAATTTGTATTATTGTCTAAATGATTTCCTTATTTTTTTAATCCGAGTTATAAATTAAAAAAAAAAAAAATAACTCAATGTTCAATATTTTATTTTAAAATCGATCTTTATTTAAAACGCATAACAAACACGAAGTACCAAATATCCTTATAAAATTTGTGTTGCCACCGATCTTTACCAACCGTAGTTACCGCTGTAGGCACCAACATAAGTTGGAGCATATGCGCCATAAGTTTTCAATACGGGAGCAGCCCCATAGCTAGCATAGGCAGATGAAACCAATGGAGCAGCACCATAGGTGTGAACGAAAGGAGTGGCAACCGTTTTCACAACAGGACTAACAATGGGTTGAACATAGTGGCCAGCATGGGTTAAAGATGGTTGGACAATGGTGGTTGCCAAGGGTGAGGTATATGTCAAGTGAGAGCCACCCAAATAACCGGGACGAGCAGCAGCAATGGCAAAGAAAGCAGCAAGGGCAAACTGATAGTGAAAAAGTAATTTTTGTAAGAAAAATTTAAAGTTTAAAAATAAATATTTCTATTTTAGCCTACCAATTTGAACATTTTGGCTTTAGGTTTTTCTTGTAACTTGTTTTCTTTGAGAAGTACTTGAAGTGATTGATTACTTTTTACAAACTATATGTAGCATATATACTAAAAATCATCTACAATAAATTAAAACTACATTAAATTCGAATTATATTTTTTTGAATGTTTTTTTATGTTCCTGAATATGACTTTAAGAGTACAACGACCGTAGGCATTTTAAATCTCAAATACTCAACATATCATTTTTAAGGCTTGCGGGAATTATATAACGATTAACAGGTTTTTACCAGGTAATAAAATTGAATTTAAAACTATCCGCCAAACAAGCTTACAATGGAGAGTAATAAACTATTCATCACCATTTGAAGCAGATTAGATTATAGAAAAATAATTAATTTTATTCAAAATATAAAAAAATATAAATTTTGCAAATTTTAACAGATTAGCCAATAGACAAGAAGGAGATCTTCTAAGCTTAAATACATGGTAAAACTACAGAAAGTTGTATACTTATAATCGATAAGATCCAACGATCTTCCAATAATTGAAGGTCTTTAAATTAATAAAAACCCTTATGATGGTCTTTTAATTATTGAATACGACCAGAAGGTCTTTTAACCTAATAATCCTCCTGTATGGCTTCCATCAAGATCTATTTACAGAAAACGTTATGGAGCTTCTATTTATAGATAATCTATAATTATTGAATACCCAGTAAAGATCCCAATTTCAATGAATACCCTGAGAATATATTGAAGACTTTCAAAGGGGGTTTAAACCAGTGAGCGGAGCAGTATAGTCGGACGGGGCCGACCATATGATATCCTACACAACTACCACGGAACTCTAACTTTCTGCAGATCTATATCTATTTGCATCCTCTTAACCGATTAGAGGTCAATAACTCCTATTTCTTGCCATGACATATTTTTCGAATTATGTTTTATAGCTGTTTCTTCAGGGGTAAATATATATGCCCCCATGAATACAAATTTTGTAATTTTTCACACAAAAGTCAGGGTCCATTTGGACGGCTAAATATTGACCGACCTTTATCGAAACATACATGCTTATTCTCTGGCGCATGCATGCTTATTCTGGCCGACCTTTATCGAAACATGCATGCTTATTCTCTGGCCTGATCCCCTTCTCCATGCAAAAATTCGCGGTGTTTGGGCCATAATTGCGGCCTCTGGAGCGACCAGAAAAACCGACAAAAATAAAGTTTTTGGTCCATTTCATCCCCTAAATATTAACCGATCTTTTCCAAAAAACAATAGGGATGTTCATTGGC